GCGAAAGCTAGTGCTCCAGCTTGTCGATGATCGGCTATAGGGTGCGGGCGCCGACCTTGCGAATAGATAGTGGAAAGCCGAGGTATGTAGTAGGGAACTCCTGAAGCGAGCACGCAAAGCTCTCGGTGATCGCGGCCCGGTCCGTGGGGTGTGCACTGGATGGGGGACATCGCACACTTGGCAAAGTTAGTGTGCATTCCATAGGCAGCACCGAAGACATGTAGCAGCTCGCGAATGACGGTAGTCACGCGTGCCAGGTCGGCAGAAGACGACCACGTCATCAGTGCAGAGGGAGACGCTCGATGCCATGTAGCACGCGGTGAGTTGTTGAAGCACGCCATCACTGGCCGCCCGACAAGTGAGGTTGTTGAGGGTGTCGATGACCATGACGAAGAGCATGGGGGACACGGGTCCCCTTGCCGTAGCCCAACTATGAAGAATGGGTGGCCCAGGGACACCATTAACAAGAACGCGCGTGCTGGCATGCCGAGGAGGATGCAAATCCACTCGCGCCAATGATGGCCGAAGCTGAGGTGCCGAAGGGTCTTGAGGAGGAATGCCCAAGAGAGAGAGTCGAAGGCACGTGCAATGTCGAGTTTGAGCATGACGCGGGGGTGACGGGGGTTGTGGAGTTGCCGTGCTGTTTACTAGGCGAGCAAGAAGTTATCATGGATGCATCGGCCGATGATGAAGGCACTATGGTTGGTGGAGATCATTGCACCGAGGCGGGACGCGAGGCAGAATGAGCACTTTGGCGAAGAGTTTGGCGACAAGGTGGATTAGGCTAATCGATCGGTAATCTGAGAGCGCACCAGCGTCAAGCCTCTTCGGTAGCAAGCTGAGAAGCACCTCGTTGAGCCGTTGGAATCCATGGTCGTTGAGGCGGTATAGCTTATCGAAGGCAGCAATGAAATCATCTTTAATGGCCGGCCAAGAAGCACAAATGAATTCGAAGGTGAATACGTCGGGCCCTGGCGCCTTTCCTTTTGGCAATTGTTTGATGGCTTCCCAAATCTCAGCCTTAGAGAAAGGCAGCTCAAGGTCGTGCAGCTCGAACGAGCGTGGGTCAAGAGCATCAAGGTCGATGGAGGATGGTCGCTCGGCTGGAGTGTCGAGGATTGTCGTGAATTGGTTGAATGCAGCCTCGACAATCGCCGCGTGCTCGGACATGGGGGAGCCGTCAACCTAGAGCTGGAAGATGGAGTTCTTGCAGGCTCATTGGGCGGCATTGCAGACGAAAGAAAGACGGGCTAGTACCATCGTCTGTTAGGAAGTTGAAGCGCGTGCTCTGCCTGGCCAGGGAGCGCTGATACGTCCATTTTGCATCATGTTTACCTACTGTTATTTATAATGTTTGTATGCATAATAATGCTTTTTGGAGTAATTCTAATGTCTTTTCTCTCATAATATGCAAGGTTCACACAACGAGGGAGAATTTCGGCAGCTGGAAATCTGGACCTGAAAAAGCTACGTCAGGCTACCTATTCTGCACAACTCCAAATGAGCTGAAACTTCACGAGGAATTTTTATGGAATATATGAAAAATACTGGAGCAAATAACTATCAGAGGGGCCCCACCCGGTGAGCACAAGACACCAGGGCGCGCCAGGCCCCCCAGGCGCGCCCTGGTGGTTGTGCTCAGCCTAGCCCACCTCCGGTGCCCATCTTCTGGTATATAAGTCATTTTGACCTAAAAAATAAGGAGAGGACTTTCGGGATGAAGCGCCGCCGTCTCGAGGCGAAACTTGGGCAGGAGCACTTTTGCCCTCTGGCGGAGCGATTCCGCCGGGGGAACTTCCCTCCCGGAGGGGGAAATCATCGTCATCATCATCACCAACAACTCTCCCATCTTGGGGAGGGGAATCTCCATCAACATCTTCAACAGCACCATCTCCTCTCAAACCCTATTTCATCTCCTGTCTTCAATCTTTGTACCAGAACTATAGATTGGTACTTGCGGGTGACTAGTAGTGTTGATTACATCTTGTAGTTGATTACTATATGGTTTAAAGATTAAATGTTCAGATCCATTATGCTATTTAATACCCCTCTAATCTTGAGCATTATTATCATTTGTGAGTAGTTACTTTTGTTCTTGAGGTCATGGGAGAAATCTTGTTGCAAGTAATCATGTGAATTTTATATGTGTTCGATATTTCGATGGTATGTATGTTGTGATTCCCATAGTGGTGTCATGTGAACGTCGACTACATGACACTTCACCATATTTGGGCTTAAGGGAATGCATTGTGGAGTAGTTATTAGATGATGGGTTGCGAGAGTAACAGAAGCTTAAATCCTAGTTTATGCGCAATTCCGTAAGGGACTGATTTGGATCCAAAAGTTTAATGATATGGTTAGAATTTATTCTTAATACTTTTCTCGTAGTTGTGTATGCTTGCGAGGGGGTTAATCATAGAGGTTTGTTCAAGTAAGAACAACACCTAAACACCGGTCCACCCACATATCAAATTATCAAAGTAGCGAACACAAATTGAACCAACATGATGAAAGTGACTAGATGAAATTCCCGTGTACCCTCAAGAACGCTTTGCTTATCATAAGAGACCGTTTTAGCCTATCATTTGCCTCAAAAGGATTGGTCTACCTTGCTTCACCTTTGTTACTACTATCGTTACAAATTATCTTGCTATCAAATTACTCGTTACTTATAATTTCAGTGCTTGCAGAGAATACCTCGATGAAAACCACTTGTCATTTCCTTCTACTCCTCGTTGGGTTCGACACTCTTACTTATCGAAAGGACTACGATTGATCCCCTATAATTGTGGGTCATCAAGGCTCTTTTCTGGCGCCGTTGCCAGGGAGTGAAGCGCTCTTGG